AAGTTCCAAGGCAGCCAGGACTACATAGTAAGATCCTGTCTCAAAATAATAATAGTAATTAAAATGTAGACATGGTAGCACACACCTTTAATCTAAATACTTGGGAAGCGGAGACAGGCAGCTCTTTTAACAGTTTGAGGCCAGCCTGGTCTACATAGAGAGTTCTAGCCCAACCACGGGTTGGAGAGATGGCTCAGCAATTAAGAGCACTGGCTACTCTTGCTGAGGACCCAGGTTCAGTTCCCAGTACTGACATGGTAGCTAATAACTGTAACTCCAGTTCCAGGGGAATCTATTGCCCTCTTCTGACCTCTGCAGGCATTGCATGAACACAGTGAACTTACATATATGCAGGCAATACATTCATATACATAAAATAAAAATAATATTTTTTTTAAATCCCACTAGATATGGTAGTGCATGCTTGTAATCTCAGTGCTTGGGAGGCAGAGACATGAGAATTGTAGAAAGTTCAAGGCCAACCTGGTCTACTTAGCAAGTTCCAGGCTACCTAGGGCTGCATAGTAAGACCCTGCCTCAGGCGGGGAAAAAAAAAGAAAGAAAGAAAAAGACTTAAGCTGGGAGTACAGTGTCCCTAGGATGGACAGCCTCAAGGGCATTCTCTTCCACACTCAGCCCCACTCCCCGCAACACAGCAACTGTAGCTGTAGAGACCTCTTGAGATGGACTTGGGTAGCTGCTGCTTAGGATGCTTGAGTTGACCCCAGCCCCTCATCCCTTACTGCTTTGAACACTTTTGTTGTGGAATTCCTTGCCTTGGATATTCCCAAGTTTTGTAATTGCCATTTCTCCTCTACCATGTCACCATTGAAAACTTTGTTCAAAATCTCAAGTGTCTTTGTTTGTGTTTTGCTTTGCTTTTGAGGCAAGGTCTGTCTCTGTAGCCCAAGATGGCCTAAAACTCACTAAATAGAATTGTGTCAGTTCTTCCTGTTTCAACCTCCTAAGTATGCAGGCATGAGCCACTATGCCCAGCTTCAGTGTTAGTTCTTTTTATTTGTTTATTGGTGCTGGGGGTGAAACCCCCACGTGCTAAGCTCCTGTTCTGCTACTGAGTTGTACTCCCAGCCTTGCTTTTTAAGAAAGAGCAGACAGAAAAGAAAACAAGGTGAGCCCCGTGCTGTCTCCCAGGACTCCCACTGCTGTCACTGTTTGGCTGTCCACTTTGTCATCCTTAGGAATGCCTCTGCTCATCCTGTGACCCCTCCTCACTGCCCTTGTTCTTTCTGACCCAGGAACAAGATCACCATGATCGCTGAGCCTCTTGAGAAGGGCCTTGCTGAGGACATAGAGAACGAAGTGGTCCAGATCACCTGGAACAGGTTAGAACAGGCTCTGCTTCCAGGGCTAACACTACAGCTTCTTTGCCTGGTGTGTAATACCACACATCCTCCTGGGAAGCATGTAGCCCCTTTGCTGTTGTCCTGGAGGTGGTATGTGTAGAGTGAGGTCATTGTCCCCCAGAAAGGGAAGATCCATGGCCCCAGGAGCCAGTTTCTCTTCTTTTCCCCAGGAAGAAGCTGGGAGAATTCTTCCAAACCAAGTACGACTGGGATCTGCTAGCTGCCCGTTCTATCTGGGCCTTTGGCCCTGATGCCACAGGCCCCAACATCCTGGTGGATGATACGTTGCCTTCGGAGGTAGAGTGAACCAGTGGGAGCCATGTAGCAGTGTGTTAGCCCTTGAGTGAAGAACCTACAAAATACTCTTTTCTCCAAAGACTTTTTGTGTCCCCTGGTGATAGAGTGGCCCCTCACAGCCCCACTTCTTTTCTCCTCCCTCCAAACCTGTTAGCTATTTCCAGGGGACTGCTAAGGGGCCCTCATGTTTCTGCGCAGGTGGACAAGGCTCTCCTCGGCTCAGTGAAGGACAGCATCGTTCAAGGTTTCCAGTGGGGAACCAGGGAGGGGCCCCTCTGTGATGAGTGTAAGTCCAGTGGCACCTCCCAGCCCCATTCCCAGGGCCCTTGCATCCAGCTACATGAGGTCATGAAGTGAGGATAAGTTCCTTATCTTTCAGACCCAGCAGAAGAAACTTGGGATGCACTGGGTTATCCCAGTCTTAGGCCAGCCTCCTTCCTCTCTGCTCCCTCCCTTTCGCAGTGCCATCATTAGGTTCAACTTGAAATGAAGTCATTTCTACACTGACATTCACTCTCGATTCCTAAGTTGAATCTTTGGCTGTGTTAAGAGAAATACTACAAGAATGATGATTAGAGTGGTTTATTGACCCAGGTTGGACCGGCTAGATGTGCAATTTCTAGAGCATAGTTATAATTGCCCTCCACCCCCCAAAAAAATCTTTAGAGGTAACACATAAGATTGTAGGAAAGTTCCACCTCAGAGCATGGCCTGAAGTAAATGCTAAGAACATGTTTAACTGCTGATCTCTTTGCTACTGGCCTTGCTGATCTGATTAGGACAGCCACCTCTGGTGTGACTTTTGTGCCATATCTTCTGTGGTGGCAAGGTACTCTGCTGCTCTATCGTGGCCCTGTGACTCGCCCCAGCTCTCTTCACTCAGTTCTCCTGTCTCCTTTTCAGTGATTCGGAATGTCAAGTTTAAGATCCTGGACGCAGTGGTTGCCCAGGAGCCCCTCCACCGGGGAGGTGGCCAGATCATCCCAACAGCCAGGAGGGTAGTCTACTCTGCCTTCCTCATGGTAAGAGTTGAGTTGTTGGGACTGGTCTTTCCTCGACAGATTAAGGGGAGGACCAGGCAGAAGCCACAGAAGGACCCAAAAGGTCTGGAGACCCTTTATTCTCATTCTTCAACCTTGCCATAGCATAGCCCTTTCTCATTCTGTTTGCAGGCCACACCTCGTCTGATGGAGCCTTACTACTTTGTAGAGGTCCAGGCCCCTGCAGATTGTGTGTCTGCTGTTTACACTGTCCTGGCTAGGCGCAGGTGAGTAGCCCAGGGTATTAGGATTCTGAGAACAAGAATCTCCTTGGCTGCTGGGGGTGGGGAAGTGGCTTAGCCTTCCTACCCTCCACTCCAAAAGCCAACTGAGCTTGTTTTCCACAGGAAGTAGGAGAGAACTAAGTCCTAGCTTTACCACAGTGATAGTTGAGGTATCTCCTTAGCTCCTGGGGCAAGTGCTACTGCAAAGCTGTAGTGGGGCTGTTGGTGAAGTCCCATTGTATCAGTGTCCATACCGTTGTCTCCTGCCCAGAGGTGACTGCTTCTGTGTCTTCTTAGAGCCCCAAGCCCATTCTCTTTGTAGAACCTGTTACAGTTCTTTGATGTTAGCTGGGCTAGTATACATGGAGGAGCTGCAGAAGCCACATTGCTCCTTGCCTTTTGGCCTGTATACAACTAGGACCTCAACTTTTTGTTTTTCTCAGGGGGCATGTGACTCAGGATGCACCCATCCCAGGCTCCCCTCTGTACACCATCAAAGCTTTCATTCCAGCCATCGACTCTTTCGGCTTTGAGACTGATCTCCGCACTCATACTCAGGGACAGGCCTTTTCTCTATCTGTCTTCCACCATTGGCAGGTGAGGAAACCTTTTGGCCTTCTACGGTAAGACTGACCTATTTCTGGCCAGTTACCCTTCCATACCCCTAAGAGAGATGTTCCAACATCCTAGAGAAGAGTCCTGCATCTGGGCCTGAATCCTCAGGGAAGCTGTTTGAACTGCCTTAAACCTCTTGGCCTTTCAGATTGTCCCTGGTGATCCTTTGGACAAGAGCATTGTCATCCGCCCCTTGGAGCCACAGCCAGCTCCTCACCTGGCCCGGGAGTTCATGATCAAAACACGACGGAGGAAGGTAGGTGTCCTTACAGGCATTGCCATCCCTCAACCCTCATGGTCTCCACAGGCATTGGTGTTTTCATTTCTTTTTTTGGATCCTTTTCCTAAAAGTAGTTTACTACTGTTTGGAACACTATACTCTGTATTCCTCAGGCAACCAGATCTAGGGCCCAAAGGGAACTAACAGTACCCTCAAGGCACAGCACCACTAGTCTGCACCAGCCTTCTTTCCCATCAAGCACAGGTCTTAGATGCCTCCCAGTTAGTACCCCCTCACATGGAGGTCACCCTTGCATTTGACCCCTGTTGTCCACAGGGCCTGAGTGAAGATGTGAGCATCAGCAAGTTCTTCGATGATCCTATGTTGCTGGAGCTTGCCAAACAGGATGTTGTGCTCAATTACCCCATGTGAATGCAGAGGGCTGGCAACTCCTGCTCTCTGTGTAGACTACAGCCCTGGACTCGCTGGGACCCATGTGATTGGGCTTTCATGCTGTATCTGGGAACTGCTGTGGTGCCATCTTGAACAACCCAAGAGCCTCCAACTCAGTGAGGAAGGGGTGTCTGGCCTCCTGGTTCCTTCTGTGGCCTCTGTCTGGCTCCATTCCCAAGGAACAGAGAGAAGCTTGGACCCAGGGAAAAAAGAATGAGAACAGCATGAAAATGTTTAACCCCAAGGGGCCTGTCCTCAGGATTTACATGGAATTTTATTTCTTAAAGTTCAGCCTTAGCCATGGTTTGTAAATGAACAGAACATTCTGACCTATGCCTTGGTCTGCTTTCTTTCCATCCCCCTCATTCCCCCACCCCCTACAGCCTGTCTAATCTGAGCACTTATATTCTGGGTATGTGATCTCCCATGAGGCATCACTGCCTCTGCTCCCAGCTGTAGCCTCCTTCCTGCCTGGGTCTCCAGGGAAGCAGCCTGTGGTGGAAAGAATGCCTATGTCTGATTTGGTGTTCCCATGAGCCTCAGGTTCCCTTCCCTACCCCCCACACTCCCACCCAGGCTGCTTCTCAGTGGACCTGAGGTGGTATAGGAGTTGCTGGGACCCTGGGATCCAAGGTCAGTTCTCCTCCCAAGAGACTGCTATACCTTGTATCTTTCTGACTCTTGAGTTAGGGGCCAGAACCTTTTAGTTAGCATACGTTATATTGGGTCCTCCCACCAGCCACCACAGTTCCCTTTCTGTGCTCTGCCCTTGAGCAAGACACTTGACTTTCCTCAGCATGGCTTTATTAGGCACATTGGGGAGACAGATGGGGGATGGGCTGCCCTGCTACCCCAGGAGTTCTACTTCTCAGCATCCTGTGATGTCCTCTTGATGTAATCTTTGTACATTGTGTACACAGCACCTGCACAAGGGAGGAGACATGCCCCTTGGCATCTGATCCCTACACTCTTCCTCCCTGATTCTCCCAGGTGTCCCAAAGGCTCCTTTGAGCCTTTCCCTTGAGAACTCCGCTTCCCTGCTCATCTTTCTGCCCCAGGTCCCAGCAGCTGCTCCAAGTATCCAAGCACACAGCCTGGAGGGAGCAACTGAGTAGACAGTTCCCAAGCATTTTGACATATTCTGTCAAGTGGGCTAGTCAGAGATAGTTATGTTATTCATGGAGAAACAGGCTCAGTGAAAGGGACTGGCCACAGTCACAGCTAGCAAGTAGCAACTTCTTGATTCAGAGAGGATGAGAAATCCAGCTTACATTCTGCTCTGTGATTGTTCTCATCTCTGGGGCAAACTCATAAATAGGCTGTGGCTATCCCATCAGCCAGGGACAGGTAACCAGTGGGGAACCTTGAACAGGCCTCACTGGGGGGGTTCATGAAGGAACTGATATGAATGCTAGTATGGGGAACAGGGACTTGATTCATAACTCCCTTTAATTGAGGATCACAGGCTGCCCGGTCAGTTTTGTCCTTGTTCTCCCTGTACACCCTCTCCCCCTACCAAGCTGCTTACCGAGCATAATGGCACCCACAGCACAAGCCTGCGCTGCCACTCGGGTGTGGATCAGATGTATGGACAACTTGGTAGAACCTCGAGCCTTCAGCCGGTAAATCCTATAGGCTGCCACCACCAGGCAACCTCCTACACCTGTGGACAAAGAATGGGATCTCTGGGCCTATGTCCATCCCAGGCTGCCCCTGCCTAGTGAGTGATACCTCTCTTGGCAGAGTATGTTGGACACCTGGATAGGCAGCTTTTCATGCACCAAGCATTTGGATATTGAACTGTTTGCCCTTGGTGGTGTTTTCAAAGGGCCTGTGAGCCTCTAATGATGCCCCTTCCCCATATTCTGATAGTCTATCATGACTACACCCCTACCTTAGCTTCTCCAACCGCTCTTGGCACCTACCTCTTAGTTATAGGCATTTTCCTACTCTAGGGCCCTTAAGGGAAATTCTGGGGCAATCCCAAGTTGCAATAAAGAGATGAGCTCACTGAGAGGCCTCCATCCCACTTCTCTTCCTCCACTCACCTATAGGAACCAGTGGAGACTCCCTGGTCTTCCTTAGGAACCTTTCAGACAGGTTGTCTTCACCTTCAGGTGGCTCCCACCAGCCCTTGTTAGCAGACATGATCCTGGATCCAGATGTTAGCAGCTGGGGCTACCTAGGCTTCAGCACAGCCCTGGAAGAAGGCAGCTCAAAATAAAAACTAATTTTCAGTCTAGAGTGGGGGGAGGAAAAAAAAAAGGTTAGCTGCTAGGACCCTCTTACCATTGCTCAGCACAGCCTCCACTTGGAAAGATGTCTCTCCCAGGTGTCCTGTCTCAGGAATCTGGGCCACTAGTGGCCACTTTCTTCATGTCCACCCTGACATCCGCCTCTTCCCTAGTTCATTCTGACTTTACTGTTCTCTGCTTCCTGCTCTCTATTTGTAACCCTATGGGTGTAGTCCTTGTTCCAAGAAAAACAGCTGGAAAAATCCATGGAGGGAACTGGGAAGAACAGTCCTTGGAACTTGGGGCCTCCTTTGGTCTTGGATCTGTTGACAGTTGTTCCTAAGGGAGCTCCAGAGCAAGATCTGGCCCTGGGGAGCCAAAGCCAATCCAGACAGACAGAGCACCATTTACCAAAACACGAGGCAGATTGAAATGAGATGATAGATTTTGCACCCTAATACTAAAAGAACAAATCCTGGTCATCTAGCTGGTCCCCACCCTGCTACATCTGTCCTATCCTGAAACCTCTACTGATCTGCTTGTGAACCTTGTAAATGTTTATTCAGAAGCTAGATAGAATCCTAGTCCTCAGGACCAATTCTGCCAGCAGGATGCCTTCTAAGTCCAAGCACAAGACAAATACTCTGCCTGAGTCAACTCTTCTTGGTGGCCCATGGATCTTCAGTGTGCCTATGCTTACCCTAAGAGAGATGGCTAGAAAATGGAGAGTAGCAGCTGGGCCAGGACTCAGCATCTGCTTCTTTGATTCAGTCAAGAGCTGATGCCGGAGCTGTCACTATGGGGTCAGAGAAGCAGTGACTTGGGCTTTATGGAGACTTTGAAGTCAAGAAAGAGGGGAGGAGAGAGAACACAGCATCAGTCTTAACCCCCCATCTGCTGAGCTCCAGATGGTAGAAAGTAAGGTTATACAGATGTAAGAGCGCCCTTAACTGATGGGAACCCATTTCCCCTGCACACGTGTGGCTGCTGGTAGAGATCTGAAAGAAGCAAAGATAGAGCTCCTGGGTCCTTCCCACATTAAGCTCTCTGAAATATTCTTATGAGCAATGTCAGAAGTAAGTAAAATACCACAGTTGTAAGAGACAGGCTTTCTGGTCTTTGTCTTCTGGACAGGCCTGGTGACACCTTTAACCCCAGTACTCGGGAGGCAGAGGCAGGTGGATCTCTGTGAGCTCAAGGCTAACCCAGTCTGCATAATGAATTCCAGGCCAACCAGAGCTCTGTCTCAAAAAATATTAAATAAAAGGGGGCTGAGGCGTATACCTCAGTGGTATTTGCCTAGCAAGTGGGAAGCCCAAAGTTCAGCCTCTGTGTGTATGCATGTGGGGGAGTGCCTCTGGATCAGGGAGGTTTTTAAAAATTTATGTGCATGAGTGCTTTGCCTGCATGTATGCAAGTGCTCCATACGTGTGCAGTGCCCAAGGAGGCCAAAAGATGGCATCAGGTCCCCTGGAATTGGAGTTATAGATGGTTAGCCATCATGTGGGTGCTGGGAACCGAACTCAGGTCCTCTGAAAGAGCAGCCAGTGCTCTTATCTGCTGAGATCTCCAGCTCCTGGATCAGGGAATTTTATCCAGAAATTTGAGACAACTGAGATGATTGCTTACTCAGGTTTCATGACCATGACCCAATGATCTGAAGCTAGTGCCATTCTGTACCAGGTATTTGTAGTTCAGACCTGTCAACAGATGACAGAAACTGAGCTTCAGAGAAGCCAAATGACTTGTCCAAGGATACACAGCTAGTAAATGGTGGTGTCATCATCTGTCCTAAGTCTGGCTGGCTCAGGGGGCTGGCCAAGTTGAAACCCTTTCTAGATTAATATTCTGGCCTCCTTGACCAAGAAGAAAAGGCTCTTGCTAAGCCAATGGGACAGATCAGGATGCACTGTGTGTGTGTGTGTGTGTGTGTGTGTGTGTGTGTGTGTGTGTGTAATGCACACAGGCATTACTCTCAGCCTCTGTGTCTGTGTGTTCGTGTGTGTGTGTGTGTGTGTGTGTGTGTGTGTGTGTGCGCGTGTGCACGCGCGCGCACGTGTTCCCCAAAGGGATCTTTTCAGCACTGGAAATTTGTCTAGCAGCTGATATCCTTCTTTTCTCTCCCTAACACTAGTTGCTCTATGAACAGACTCAGGGTCACAGCAACTCCCCAGGGCATTCACATATCCCCCAGTGTCCATGAGAACACTCCTCTCTGCCGTTCACACACACTCCTGTGCTGCTTCTCCAGGTCCCCACGGTGGCCTGAATTCTCAAGAGATAGATGGTATATGCTCTCCTAATTTAGGATACAGGAGGGGGGTTGGAAATGACTGGATGAGACAGGAAATCAGGATCAACTTCAAAGCCTCTAAAGAACAGGGCCTGGAGAGATGTCTCAGCAGTTAAAAGTATTTGCTGCTTTTGCAGATGACCTGGGTTCAATTCCAGTCACCCACAAGGGATCTTATGCCCTCTTCTATGCACCAAGAACATGATTGGTTCACAAACATACATGCAGACACTCAATACATACATAGAAAATAAAAATCTTGAAAGAAAAGAACAGGCCAAACTACAGAGAGCCAGATTCAGCTTTCTCCCTATTGAGATATGTTTGCCCGGGCTGGAGAGCTGGCTCAACCGTTAAAGGCTTGGGCTCACAACCATAAAAGACGAGATATATTTGCCCACCCACATTTCAGCCCAGATGTCTTGGTTTGTTTTCAGTTGTGACAAAAACACTGACCAAAACCATCAAGGGAAGTCAAGGCAGGCACTCGGCAGGAACCTGGAACACAGACCATAGAGGAACGCTGCTTACTGGCTTGCTCCTCCGGCCTGTGCTCAGCTTTCTTTCTTTGGTCTTTTTGAGACAGGGTCTCCCTGTAGCCCTAGCTGCCTTCACTATGAACTCACTACATAGACCAGGCTGGCCTTGAATTCACAGAGATCCTCCTGCCTCTGCCTCTTGAGTGCTGGGATTAAAGGTGTGTGCCACCATGTCCAGCCTTCAGCCTGCTGTCTTATATCACCTGCCCAGGGGTGGCACTGCCCACAGTGGGTGGGGGCAGAGCCCTCCCACATCACTCAACAATCAAGAAAATGCCCCACAGACATGGCCACAGGCCAATCCAATGGAGACAATTTGTCAATAGAGGCTCCCTCTACCCAGTTTTGTCAACTTGACAAAAGACGCTATCCAACACACCAGAGTTGAGAAAAGAAGTCAGTGTGATATTCAGTGTCTTCTGTGGGCCAAGTGGTTAAGTGCTCTCTGTAGGTATGTTTGTCATGCTATGGATCAAACCCAGGGCATTATGCATGCTAGGCAGGTGCTTTGCCCTATCCCTATGTAGGTCATTTAATTCTCACAATAACTATGGTGTAGGTATGTTAACCATCCTGGCAGGAAAGGAGATATTTATTATTGTTGAAATTTTATTATTAGCTGGGCGTGGTGGTGCACACCTTTAATCCCAGCAGAGGCAGAGGCAGAGGCAGGCGGATCTCTGTGAGTTCAAGGCAAACCTGGTCTACATAGTTCCAGGACAGCTGGGGCTACAGGGAAACCCTGTCTCAAAAAGACCAAAAAAAAAAAAAAAATTATTGTTGGGGCTGGAGAGATGGCTCAGAGGTTAAGAGCTCTCGTTGCTCTTGCAGAGGACCTGAATTTGATTCCCAGCACCCACATGGCAGCTAACAACTGTCCATAACTCCAGTTCCAAGGGATTAGACACCCTCTTCTGACCTACCTACATGCAAGCAGTACACTTATGCACATTAAATAAAAATAAAATATTTTTTTAAAAAATTTAATTGTGTGTGATGTATGTGTGGCCATGCACATATCACAGCACATGTGTGGAGGTCAGAAAGTTGGTTCTCTTCTACTTTTCACGTGGGTTCTGGGGATGAAACAGGTTGTCCAGCTCAACAAAAAGCACTTTCACTTGCTGAGCCATCTCTCAGGTCCAAAAGAGATATTTTAGGGAGGCAAGGCTGGGGAGATGGCTCAGTGGATAAAGCACTTTCTGTGCAAATGTGAAGACCGGAGTTTGGTGTTCATATATGCCAGTACCTGGGACACTCAAAATCAACCATTGGTCATATATGCCAGTACCTGGGACACTCAAAATCAACCATTGGCTTTCACATGCACATGCACACACACCTGCATAGGTGCACCCCCAAACACATTTGAACACAACATACACAAAGAGAAAGATGAGCTGTTCCCTTTGGCTATTGAACAATAAACTCCAAAGAATTAAAATTTCCCCCAAGAATCCCATGCTAGAGGAAAGGAAGACCTAAAGCCCTGGCTCTAGTCAGAGGAGGTACTTGCTCTTAGGAAGAGATTTCATGTAGTTCTGACAATTTATTTGAACACAGTACAGACCAGACCTAACAGAAAGTGACAGGTGTGTGATGGGCAGGACCACACCTTAACCAGGACTGCTTGATGATGCATATCTTGCCCTCTACTCAAACCTAAGCCTCCTGTCAGTACACAAAGACAGTTGTAGGTGTCAGTGGACCCTTTATTTGTTCCTCTTCTCAGTGTGGCCACATTGGATAAATTTCCTTTCTCTGCCTTTACCATTATTCATCTCTATCATTGGTATATCAGGATGGGTGGCTGAGCCTAGCTTGTTGGGGCTGCCAGTGCCCAGGCTGTCACCCTAAAAACTCTGGGACAAATACTATTATTATCTCCATTTCACAGATGGAAAACTGAGGTTCAGTTAAATGTCTTACACCAAGCCAAGTGTGGTGGTGCACTCCTTTAATGCCAGCATTCAGTAGGCAGAGGCAGGTGAATGGAAATCAAGACCAGCCTGATCTACATAGCAAGTTCCAGGCCAGCTGGAGCTACAGCGAGACCCTGTTGCAAAAAACAATAACAACAACAAAATAAACAATGAACAAAACATCTTGAGCAAAGTTACAGACTGTGATAGAGAAAAAATGACCAAATTTCTAACCATTCCTAAAATCAAATTCTACTATTCAGGACTAACTTAGAATAATGTACATAAACTGGAGAGGGAGTTTTGAGATAGAAAAAATAAAATTTCTTTTTTATTTTAAAAACTTCTGAAGAGGGCTGGACAGTGGTTCAGTTGGGCAGTTTGTCTAGCATTCTTGAGGCTCTGGGTTCAATCCCCAGCACTACAAAGGAAAAAAAAAAAAGACAGTAACTAAAACTTCAAGGAACAAATTTCTAGTGTCCTGTTTTAGTAAA